TTAAAAATTCGATTTTTTTTAAAAATATAAATAAAAGTAAAATTTGTTTTGTGAAAGAAGATATGGAAATTTTTTTTTCTGCTTTTTGAAAATCGGAAAACATTTTCCTCACTTTTGAATGCGCTTTTTTTCCATTAGTGGAAAATGTTTTCCATGACTAGTTTATTTTCCGCAACTTAAGTGGTTTCTGAAATAGTGATGTCTAGCCAACCAATTTGATAGAGTGCCCAATAATTTGGACGATAGTATTTCAAATTATTATCATTATTGGCACTTAAATGGAGGTCTTTTGTGTCTTTATGCGAAGAGAGTTGTTTGTAATTTTCAGGGTTGGATCTTCCTAATACAGCGGAAGCTATTATTTGTGAATTTGAATGAGTGTGGCCTTCTGTCATCGGCGCGGATCCTTTCAAATTAATGCTGCCAATTGTAACATCCTGAATTTTGACCCTTTTACCGGGATCAATGAAGTGTATGTTAATGCTCGTTTGATTTTAGTAAGTCGTGCTCTAAACACAATTTTGGACTTCGGGTATCGACGGGTGATTTTGGGCGAAATCTGTATAAAGTTAGGTGCGGAATTGTATGATTTGGTAGTGAAAATTTTATGGCGGGCCTTGGGATTTAATTCGGGCATTAATTATTGGAAATTAGAAAATAACAGTGGCTGTGATCTTTTGTTCATGGGGTCGTGATGGGCCGATCGTGACGCAAGTTGGGTTTTTAGAACCGGTATTTTATGGCGAGAAAGTTCCGTGAAGGATCGGAATTAATCCGACGCCGTTTGGTGGGAGAAAAATGAGAATTTACGGTTTTACCCCTCAAAATTTCCGGACTGATTTTCGAGGGCTTAAAGAATGATTTTTTTTAAGGATCTGACACCATATTATGCTGGTCATGCATATATAGGACCGGTATGGACAAAAATTGGAATTTCGGTTCGGGATCGAAAAATTACGAAAATGCCCCTAGGGCCATTTTGGCTAATTCCGAAAATTGGACAAATTTGGGGGATTAACCAAGGTTAATTAGGCTAAATCAGGTCTGGTCAGCCTTTGGTTAGGGGCAAATGACCATTCTACCCTTGAATTATTGGATGAGTATGAATCATGATCATCGGATCAAGGGCAAAAGTGTCCAAAGGTCTAGGATCTTGACATGTGGAATCCACTAACTCAAATTTGACCCATTTTGACCAGCCCTTTCTCTCTCTCTTCAGTCACTCACGCCAGCTTTCTCTCTCTCTCCCGTCCCCCCCTTGAATGCCGTTCTTCCTCCTCCGTTCCTCTTCCGTTTCTGCTCAGCCGGCTACTGTTCACGCCGGAGCAAGCCACACCGCCGGAGCTGCTGGCCGTCTGACCACCACCGTCGCCCCAGCTGACCAGCACCGCCTCACCCTTCCTTTCTTTTCCCTTTTACATTCGTAGCCGAGTAACATCGCCACCGCCGTCGCCGCCGTGACCGCGGCTTGCCCCGGAACGCCACCGTCGATTTTTACCGCGTGTCGGTGATCGACCGCCCGTTCTCGTCGTCCCGAATCGGAATTAGGCGAGTATAAACCCCTAAACCCTTAATTAGTTTAATTGTGCATTTTAGAGGGTAATTAGGGGGTTAAGTAAGCCTAATCATGGTCTATTTAGGTTTAATGTTGTGTGGGGTGATTAGGGGACCTAATTAATGCCTAATGAGGTGATTTAGAGGTGGATTAAGGCCCAAAGAGGGTGCTGCCCTGGTACTGTTCACCAGTACCGAATTTGCAATAAAATGGCTTAAGTTGTGTATTAAGTGGATTCATGGATTAAGGACCTTGAATTGGACATTTTAAGGGTTAATTAGGCTTAATTAAGGTGTAATTAAGTGTATTTGGTGGCTGGGTGGTTAGGGTATGTGATTGGGCCCTAATGAGATTGTTTAAGTGTGGTTTAGTGTCTAAATAGTACCCTGTTCTGGTACTGTTCACACAGAACCGAGATTGTGCAATTTACCTAAGTTGGGACTTATTTAGTCCATTGATTAATGACTTGGTGTTAGACAATTGGGTGACTATTGAGAGCTTATATAAATCCTATTGAATGACCCGTGATGGTGAAAATGAGGGCTAAGATCGATTTGTCCAAGGCAGGTCTTAGCGCATTGAACTACTTTGGAATGAATGCGCGGAATGAATGTTGGATTTATTGAACTAAAGTGGAAATAAATTGAATGTGCCAAGGATGAGTTAAATTCACTGACTTGGTGAATAATTGTATTCGGCATGTTGGCTTGGGTAATTGGCTTGAATTTCTGGGCATATGATTCGCACATCATGTCGTTGATTGATTGGAATTGGGTGCTTTGATGCTCATGCTTGAGCTTTATTCAAGTCGGGCCTACGGGTCGTTATATTCAATTGTGGCCTTCGGGTCGGGCCTACGGGTCGTTATATTCAATTGTGGCCTTCGGGTCGGGCCCACGGGTCGTTATATTCAATTGTGGCCTTCGGGTCGGGCCCACGGGTCGTTATATTCAATTGTGGCCTTCGGGTCGGGCCTACAGGTCGTTATATTCAATTGTGGCCTTCGGGTCGGGCCTACGGGTCGTTATATTCAATTGTGGGCCTTCGGGTCGTTATAATTGTGCATGATTCATATTGAATTCAAATGCCTAACTTGCAGGGCTGAGATAATGAAATGGGGCTATGAGCCCGGGCGAATTTATAGTGATTTACTGGTTCATGAATTTATTGTGTCGATTTACCTGTCTGGAGGTGCACTTTAGCCTAGTTTAGGATTAGGGGTTTTGTACTTTTTGAGTTTTATCTCACGGTTGTTGGAAAATCGATATTTCAGACCCCCGGCAGTAAAGATGGCGGAGCCGCTCGTGCGTTTTGGGATTTCCCACTTCATCGAGAAGACCATGTCGGTTCATCCAGTAGGAGAGGGGAATATGTACATTAGGTATTATACTTTAGTATGGGCTATATCTTTTTGACTGAAGCCCATCTTAGTTCAGCTTAGTACCCTGGCCACTGATCCTTTTTGTTGTCTGTGGCCGCGACTCGTTTTGTTGTGGCTCTTTGTAAATGGATACTGTATAAGCTTCTAAATGTTTATAAAAGAGTAAAGTTATTTTTATTTGGTGATCGTTTATGTGCGGCTATCCTTGGTCCCTGTAAATTCTGTCTGGGTGATATATATTTACTTATAGATCGTGCTTCCGCATGTGACGTGATCTCTGTGTTGGGTTTTGGGTCGGTGACGTAACCTGGGAGCGTCGCACTACTATTTCGACCTATAAGCGGGATGCTCATGCTTCGTGGGGTACGGGGCGTGACACCAGTGATGATACTATTGTCTGGCACAGTTTCCTTAATACTCCGTTCTTTTCATGAAAAATAACTTTCAGAAAAACGTTTTTCGGATTTTTCGGCGTTCATTTAACGGAAAATGAACTAGTCATGGAATACATTTTCCATCAATGGAAAAAAAACACCTTCAAAATTGAGGAAAGTGTTTTTCGCTTTTCATAACTTCTTTCACCTCATTTTCTATCACAAAACATATTTTTATTTTATTTTTATTTTTTATTTTCTTTAAAAATTTCGAATTTTTAATTATTTTTTAATTTTTAAATCTTTTCTTTTTTCTCTTCTTTTTTTCTTTTCTTTTCTTTCTTCCTTTGCCGGCCACGGCCATAGGTAAGGCTTGGCCTCGCTCGCCCAAGGCCAGCGAGCTCGACCCTCGCCTCACCTGCCTTAAGCAAGGCCTCACCAGATCGAGCAAGGCTCAAGCTCATCGGCCTTACTCTCGGTCGGCGAGGCGAGGCGAGGCCAAGCTCTAGGCCGGCGAGCTCAACCCTCGCTGGCCTCATGCTAGGGCAAAAGTAGCCTCGCTTGGCTGGCGAGGCGAGAGCTCGCCGGCCTTGGGCGAGCGAGGCCGGCCTATGGCCGGTCGCCGATTGTCACTGTGGCTGGCGATCGGCAGAGGAAGATATAAAAAAAATAAAAAAAGAAGAGAAAAGAAAAGACAAGAAATAAAAAATTATTTAAAAACTCAAAAATAAAAAATAACTAAAAATTCTATTTTAAAAAAAATAAAATAAAATTTTATTAAAAAAAGTTCTATGAGGAAAATCAAATCAGATTATCCATACCGAATGGTGGAAAATATTTTCCAGTCAATTTTCAGATCTCAGTCGAATACCGGAAAATATTGTCATTTTCCTGAAAAATGACTTTCCGGAAAACATCTTCCAAAAATATCAAATTTTTCGCAAAACGAACGGAGCCAAAGTGTGTATTAGTAGTAGTACCGAAGTCTTGCGTCTACTTGTAACCGAATTGGGCCATCTTCCTTGTGTATCAATTATCAAATTGAGCTCTTGAGATCAAATTGGTAAAAATTGATTTTGTAGTTAGGCGATCACTCTCTGAGATTGATGTTTTTCCCTGAGAGCACAATCTCAAATCCACATCACTGGACTCTGGAGACTCCGTTCTTCACCCCAGAAACAATTTTAAGTTTGGTTTCAACGACAACCTCTATATTCTAATACCAAAATCAACTTTCCCGACCAAAAAAAAAAAAAGAAGCAAAATCAACTGCAATAAGATCTCAACCTCGCAAAACTTTGATTCCGAGACTTTTATCCGCAGTGGATACATCTAGGGGTGATCGGTTCCAGGGTGAGTTGGGTCCAGACCTGGAACCTGAAACCAACCCTGCTATAATCGGTTTCCAATTTTTGGAACCTGAAACCGACCATGTTTTCCCTGGACCCTGTTTTGGAACCGACCCTATTTTTCCGGTCCGGTTTCAGGGTCTACCCGAGAACCTGTTTTTTTTTTCCTTTTTTCTGGTTTCATTTTTTTCTAGCAAAATAATATGTGTAGTAATGAAACGATTCAAAATAAAATATGAATAATAAAAACCACTATCCACCAAAAGTAACAATCCCTAAAATGGGCAATTGAAATTACAATCCATCAAAATCAACAATCCAAAAGCACTATGTGGCAAGATATAGTCTAATCGCTTAAATCTTTAAGAGTCACATTTCCAGGAATCTGTTCAACATGTTTAGCTCTTTATTTTGCGCCATGACGAGAGAACTCCTCACTTCTGTTTCCAAAAATCCGAAGGCTCCGATCCACACATCAGAATCTGATAAACAATTGTCCCATGCCATAAGAATTAAAAAGAAGTGGACAAAAAGCTCCAGCATCCTTCCCTGCCTTACGAGAGGACAAAAAGCTCCAACTGAAAAGTAATGAATATACAAAGTAGTGATTAGGATATGGGATCTTGGTGATGCCCACTTGAGGGAGAGTTATAGGTTTGCTGTCTTTTTCTTTTTGACTAAAATAGATCTAACATCAAGATATATATCTAAATATATACACTGACCTTTTGGAGGTGGCCTGAATCCAGCTATGTTACCTTCAATGGGTTCAATCTCTAAGAAAAATCCTGAAATTCATACATAAAGAAAAATCAACAAGAAACCATGCTCTAAAGACAAATGCAAATATGCCGATTAATGAAGTCTATTTACTCACCACAAAATCGGAGCTTTCACAAAAGGAAGTCTATTTACCAATGATAATGTCCTCGGTAAGACAATCCAAATCTAAAAACCCAAAAAGAGATTAAATAAAGTATTCACTCAATAGATAATATGTGAATGAATTACAAACTAGAAAGAAATTTAAACGACTTACCTGACTCAAACTTTTCCACATTCTCAATGCACTCTTCAACATTAATTGGCACGCGAACGGCTCTCAATCAATCTTGAGTGCAAATCAAACCTTCCACCACTCTAGGAGTCAAAGAACTTCGAAAGCCGTCAAGCACACGTCCCGATGTACTAAAAGTCGACTCCGAAGCAACGGTAGTCATAGGAATTGACAAAACATCCCGAGCCATCAAAGATAAGATTTTATACTTTGACCCAGTACTCTTCCACCACATCAAAAGGTCAAGATTAATGACATCTTCACTTTCGGCTTCAAGATACCGATCAAGCTCAGATTTGTTTTCATCAAGGACTGTTTTCTTCGCGTGAAGAAAGCTTTGTCGCCAAGCTTGGATGTCATCCTCATTGTCACGTTCATTGTTATCAGTATTGACATTGGAATCACTACTACTAGTACTCACACTTGAAGCACCTAAATTTTGTTTACTAGAACCAACAAGGGATTGCTCATAAAATTTATACAAACGCTCCAAGGCAAGCTTCACCTTATCATGCATCTCATCAATTTTTGCTTTATCATCATAAATTTGCCCGTAACAGAACTTTACATAATTTAACTTTTTTGTGGGATCCAACGCAACCGCAATCAACACCATCATGTTTATTTTATCCAAACTCCTATAATATTTGTCAAACTTCTCCTTCATTTTTAAACCCATAGCTTGAAACTTAGGGTCCAAAGAATTCACCGCATGATTCAAATATTTATACAAAAAAGCTGTACTCTCAAAGTAATCATTTGAAGTAACATATGAACTGCCCGACATCTGTTTAGTGGCATTATAAAACTGTTTCAGAAATTTAGAAAGAATGGTAGCATTTTCCCAATCTTCATTTCGAGGAGGATCATTGTCAATCTCCCTTAAGAAAGATGAATCATCTTCTTCCATCCTTTCAAAAGCTTTCCTGAACTTTATGGCAGTGTTTAACATTAGGTAAGTGGAATTCCATCTAGTGGCAACATCAAGACAAACTGAACCCTTGTATGTGATTCTCCCATTCTCAATACAAGATTGAAATGTTTTGGCTCTCATTGGAGAACTCCTCACATGCCTAACTACATTTCGGATACGTGCAATAGAATCACGCACCTCATTTAATCCATCTCGGACAATCAAGTTTAATATATGAGCTGTGCACCTCATATGTAAAACATCACCATTCAAGATCAAAAGCCTTTCCCTTGAAAATTTTTCCTTCAAATAATCAATGGCCACATCATTGGAACTAGCATTATCCACGGTTATTGTGGACACCTTATTTTCTATTCCCCACTCGTAAATGCACTTCTCCACCATTTTCCGAATCTCCCTACCCTTGTGACTATGCATCACCACAAAATTGATGATTCTTTTATGCATCTTCCAGTTTTCATCAATAAAATGTGCAGTGAGACATAAATAGTTCAAGTTTTGGATGGAACTCCACATATCAATTGTAAGTGCAATCCTAGAATTAAGCTTACCAAAGTAAGCTTTAAAACAAGTTTTTTCACTCAGATACAACTTCATACAATCTCTAGCCACCGTAAATCGTGATAAATGTTGGAAAAGAGGCTGTAATTCAGTGACAAAATCACGAAAACTGACACGCTCAACCGTGGAAAAAGGTTGTTCATCAATAATAATCATCCGAGCAAGCATGTGCCTAGAACGTTCTTGATCAAACTTCCACGTTGTTAAGACACTACCACCACTAGTATTTTCCCTTGCCTCGCCAACCACATCTTTGTTACGTGGTGCAAACAACATTTGCTTCTTATCTGCATGAGGGTACTTTTTGCACTTTGTCAAGTGCTTCCGCATAGTAGACGTTCCATGATCAATAGAATAATTATACTCAGTCCCACAGTGAATGCACTTTACTCTAGTTGTTTTCTATGTTTTCTCATCTATAATTCTCGAAAAATTATCCCAGGCCTCCGATTGATTAGCTCGCTTTTTACCAAGAGGAGGATGGGAGTTAGATACACCCACCTTGTTTGTCGCACTCACGGTCGTAGAGTCCACTTCAGCAGCTCCTTGGAATGGCAATTTCATGAGCGGACTCATTTCATTATATCCATCCACTTCAATTGATATGTCTTTGTCTTGATCCATCAACTAAAATCAAATTATACAACAATGTCAGGATTCTACTGAAAACAAATTATACAACAATGACGGGATTCTTTTCATACCATTCAAGTGTTCGAGTATACACTTGAATGGTATGAAAAGAAGACTTCAATCGTTTCCAAAGTGATTGACCATGACTTAAAGAACTTGCCAATTTTTTGGTCCAAGGACTATCCTAGAACTAGGAGGCCATTAGACACTGTGGTTCCATTGCTGAGTTGCTTCTGCATGATTGAACTCATAATCTTGAGTACGAACTGATAAAGACTCGTTGAAGTTGAACCATCCAACTACGCAAGATTTGGTAGTAAATCTAGCAGGCGCTTGCAACATATAACTACACAGATGGACCATTCTTTGACTTATTGGTGCGATTGCAAACTTTTTCTTGTCTACGATGCTAAACTATATTCTAGGATCAAATATCACTGTTCTTGTCTACGATGCTAAACTGATATGGGACGAATTATTCCCTTCCTATTCATAAATTACAAGCAGCAAGCATAAAATGTTAGCGATCTGCATGCTAACAAGCACGAGTTCTTTTCTTTTCTATATTGGATAAAAGGGCGAAATTTCCTTTTAGTGAATTTAAGTTCTTCATCTAAACCAAAAGAACGACAAGAATGAACAAAGGGGGACTCCTGATGAACATATCAGGTTAACTCAAGGGGGTTCTCAACTCAAATACGCAAAAATCATTGATCTTTAAGGAGGCTTGCAACATATAGAGTTTCGAGTTGAGGCCAACCACTGAAATCAGGTATGCAACCAACACTTATATTCTACCATTAAACAAACTCAGAAGTCCAAGAAGCAAGAGATAAAAGTTTCAAAAAAAAAAAAAAACTCAGACAAGCCGGATTCCGCAAGATCAGATAGCGTCTCTTCCCTCAAGTCCTCCACTGATCATCAAAATTCAGAGAATCTTCCACACCAACCCAAGCCCGCAGCGAAAAACCCCTAAAACTCGAACGCAAAACCTCAAACTCGAACTCGAACATTTCCCCAACACGAGAACAGATTCGAAGCTCGAGCTCGAAACCATCCGACCTTGCAACAAAGACGAAGAAGAGAGACTGAGGGAACGGAGGACTCACAGATCGGTGAGAGCCGGACGGGCGAAGCGAACGAGGAGCCTCCTCGGTTGCGTAATTGCGTTCTTGCGGCGAAGAGAGAACTGAGACAGAGGAGCGGCAAAGAGAGAAGAGAGGTAGGGTAACGTGATCATCATTTAGGGTTTTTTTTTTTTTACATTATCTTAAAACCGGTCCGGGTCGGTTTTTACTTGGAACCGGAAACCGGACCGGTTCCCGAACCTGTTCTAACAAGAACCGGTACCCGAACTTGTTTTTCGGGTGGGCCGGTCCGGTTTCCGGGTAAACCCGGTCCGGTTGCACACCCCTAGATACATCCATTCCAAGCCAATTCTGATGGCAGCTTCGCATAGTAAGAATCTCTTAATTCTTTATTAACCAACAAAGTTTAGCAGGCAAACATCAAATGGCTTCCACTTCGCATCCTCCTGCAATAGCATATAAACCAATACATCACGTAGAAATGGTGCTCACCTTCTTAGAATATATTGTATAAGTTCTCATATCAAAGGCTAGAAGTGTGTTCGTCTGATGTTTCGAAATCCTACTTGTAACGTCTATCATAATCGACTGCATTGACAAAAAAAACGAGACCATCGAATATAATAGACCCAAAGTTATGCAGTGTAATCCCCCTTGGAATCTCGCAGCATAGTCTCCCAGGTACTCAGTCCTTTACCATTTTCTCTGGCTGATCCTTCTATCTGCGCAAATCAAAGTAACGTACGGATTAGCGCCAGTCATAGGTGATATCTTGTTGGGGATTAATTCACTCAAGCTGCATTGACACTCAAGCTTTAGACTGGAATTAACTGTAGGCGATTGTGACACCAGAGGATGATCATGATGCTATGGTCTCAAGGAGGTTCAAAATTGTTAGAGATAATTAGGATAATTGACGAGCTGAGATATCTCAAGACAATAACAAGATGTACGTACCTGCACAGTGGAAGTAGCAGCTCTGAACAAGAACTCAGCAGGGTCTGACCTCTTGACATTTAATTCAGACTGTGATGCATTAATATTCATACCTGCAAAAGATTCATGCGAATCATCACTGTTTGCAGCTGCTGCCGCCGAGCGCCAACAGAGAAGTTTTAAGTAATAGGGTTGTTCAGTATGGTGCTCAAGTACATTTTACATTCCATGTTATAAATTATGATGCAATAAATTCAAGGGAAAAAATCACCAAAAACCTTAAATTTTGTTGTGACACATTTACCCCGAACTTTTTTTTGTAACACCAAAAACCCTAAATTTTACTTTTTGTGACACATTTACCCCAATGTATTTAGTCCATGGGCATTTTCGTCTTTTTTGCTTTTTCTTTTTTTTTCCTTTCCGGCGAGGGGGGGCCTCGCCGGCGTCGGGCGAGGGCTGCCCTCGCCGGATCCGGCGAGGGGGGCCCTCGCCGGATTCGGCGAGGGCGGCCCTCGCCGGCGTCGGGCGAGGTTCGCACTCACTGGGCGAGCGAGGCGGCCCTCGCCCGACTCGGGCGAGGGCCGCCCTTGCTCGCCCGGCGAGGGCGACCCTCGCCGGCGTTGGGCGAGGTCCGCCCTCGCCGGGCGAGTGAGGGCGGCCTCGCCCGATCTCGGCGAGGTCGACCCTCGCCGGCGTCGAGCGAGGGTGGCCCTCGCGGATCCGGCGAGGCGGCCCTCGCCAGATCTGGCGAGGTTCGCCTCGCTCGGGCAAGCGAGGGTCGACCTCGCCGAGTCGCGGCGAGGGTCGCCCTCGCCGGGCGAGCGAGGCGGCCTCGCCCGACTCGAGCGAGGGTCGACCTCGCTCGAGTCGCGGGCGAGGTCGCCTCGCGGGCGAGCGAGGCGGCCTCGCCCGATCTGGTGAGGTCGACCCTCGCCCGACGCCGGCGAGGGCCGCCTCGTCGGATCGCGAAGGCCGCCCTCGCTCGACGCCGGC